AGTTCACAGCGCTGGGAGCTCTGAACTAAGAGACAGGGCAGGAAGGTGGTTAGCTGGGGCCCCTGGTGGGAGGCTGACTGGGAGAGGCCCCAGGGCCCTGAAAGAAGCTTGGCTTACTTTAGCTACTGGGCATCCAGAGGTTGCCTAGGTCGCTGTGGATGAAGAGAACATGACAGCTCTGTACTCTGAAAAGTGCGTTTGAGGGTCACTTAGAATTTGGGTCAGGTCAACTTAGGTCACTGAGACCAGGGTTGTGAAAGAGAAGATCCTTGAAACCTTTGATTATGTGAGTTCAGAGCTCACGAGGGGTTATCTTGGTACCCAGTTGGTACGTGCCTAAAATCAAGTGGGAAGTGATGTGGGAGCTAGTGCTCTAACCCCACCCAGGATCCATGGCGTACCCCCACCCTGCCGTTGCTGCTGGACAGCATCTCTCTGACTGTGTCCCTCTCACGCCATGACTACCGCACTTCCTGGGATGGACCTCTTCCCAAAAGAAACCAAAAGGCACCTCTGGACACACCGTCTCCAAGCCTGACCGCTCTGCCGACCTCCCACTCCCATCTGACCCCGGCTGAATCCCTCCCCCCTTTCCAGGCCTGTGCTGTCCCTTCACCCCGGCCCTGGGAAATAAGAAAGAAAATACGGCACAGTAGAAATGCAAGGGCCTACAGGGGAGAGGCAGAGGAGCTGAGTGTCTCCTGCCCGATGATCCCCGAGTCTTGAGCCCCCCTGTCTAGCGGGTGGGTTAGAAACCTCACCTTCCGTGAAGGGCTCCCACTGGTAGAGCTGGCCCATGAACTCCTGGGAGTCAAAGGCTGCACACTGCAGGGCACGAGGGTCTGGCTGCTCAGGGGGGCAGGGCTGAGGTGGGGGGATACAGAGGAGTCAAAGCTGGGGAGGAAAATGGGGGCGTGGGTCAGGGCTGGATTTGGGGAGTAGGGAGGAAGTCAGGTCTACGGGGGGCTCCAAGGCCCTTACCCTGAGGAGGTCAAATGGAAGGCCTGTCTCCCTCAGGTCCAGATCTGACAAGCTGAGGACCCAGACGCAGGGTCAGGGAAGCAGTAATGGGGGGCTGGGGTCCAAGGAAGAACTCACCGCTTGGCTGCAGGCTCTCAGCTGCTCACTCTCCCCAGGACATCGTGGGACAGGGCTACTGGGAGCAAAAAGGCTCCACTGGGCGCTGGAGTGGGGGCCAGCCCTTAGCAGAGGCAGCCAGCCATCTGGGTAGGGAGGGGCAGACTCCGCGAGGGGCCTGTGCAGACCACCCCCAGGCCTCCAGTGCTCCCGGCTCTGCTGGCCTCGGCCCCAGGGGACAGAAAGGAAAGGATTAGGGTGTCTCTCTGCTGCTCCCCGGGAACTGGCCCAACCCTGGGGACTTGGTGGCATTCTTGGCTGAGGGGACGTGTGGAAGGAGCCACTTTCTCCAGAGGAGGGGGAGGATGAGGGAGACTCTGTGCCTGAGGCCTGAGCTCGGGGGTGGGGCCGTGTGGAGGCAGGCCTGCTTCGGGGGGGCACCTCGGTCCAAGCAGCCTCAGGGCCAGGGGATCCTGCCGAGGGGGACAGGGTGTGAGCAGAGAATGCCGTAGGAGGGAACTGAGTTTGAGGGGTGTGGTTTGCAGAGGATGGCTCTGCTCCTGGAGTCAGGGATGGAAGGAGCTCTGAGGTCTGGGAGAACTCAGATCTGGGTGGTCTCTGGGGATGCCTGCGGTTCCGATGCAGTGGCAAAGCAAAGGGCACTCTCCCATAACCAAACATTCCTGGCTTGATGGGGTCTCGAACCCGGGACCTGAGAAGGCGTTGCAGACACAGGGTCACAGAGCTGGCTGTCTCTGACCCTGCCTCCCCTCCCCCCTCTACTTTCTAACACCAGAGATAAGCCATGTGTCCTTCCCTTTTCCTCAGTCCCAAGCCCCACCCCTTGCCTAAGGCCCGGCCCTTCCCTCAAGGCCCCTCTTCTCACCTCCTGGCTCCTGGAACCTCCTGCGCCTCCTCTCTCCCTGACTGGGAAGCAGGACCTCGAAGTGGGCCACCTCTTCCCCGAGGCGGTGGCCTGTACAGGGGGAGGGTTTGTCGGGGGGTTTGGGGTCTGGGGCCCTGTCTTCGGGGGAGCAGGGTTTCTGGATGTCTGGGGGGCCGGGATGGGAGGGGTGGGCCCTGGTGAAGCTGAGCTGTTGGGAGCTGACATGTCCGGCTCCTGCGTTGCACCCCCACCCCACATGGCTGGGAGCAAGACGCCCATTGGTCCCAAGGACCCCAGATGCCCTCAGGGCCCTGGCCTTCTTCAAGGGGTGCCTGAAGAACATGTCCAGACAACACCTATGTAGACAAAAAGGTCAGACAGAATTGGAATTTTAGAGGGAACCATACAGAGGCTCTAGAGCAATGTTCAGGGCTCAGGGAGGTGGTTACCAGCCCAAGGTCACATTCAGCAGCAGAGGTGTTATTTGCCAAGGAGCTAGGGGGCAGGAGAGAAAGGGAGGCGGGCGGGCGGTGCGGGGGGGGGGGGGGGGCGGCCAAGCCTGAGAGAAAGGGGCCAGCTCATCAGAGGCTGTGGAGAATGGAGGCCTGCCCTGGAGAAGTGGGTGGGAGGTCAGGGGACATGGAAGGACCACAGCCTCTGGTCCTTGGCTCACCTCCTGATCCAGGCAGAGCTGAGGGAGGGACAGAAGCAACATCAGGCCAAACAGGGGCCTACAAACCAAAGGCACAGTGGGGGCGTCAGAGGGGAGCCAGGGGTGGCATTGCGTGCGTGTGACACTGCCCCTCACCGCCAGCCAGCAGCCTCCCCACATCCTGATAACAAAACTTCTCAGAAAGCAGAAGTTACTCATCGCTTCCCCCCACCCCTCCCAGGGATCTCCTTTCCCTCACATCCAAAGGCAGAGCCGTCCCTCAGTCCCTTGGCCTGGCAGCCCACCTCTTACCTGCCCGCCCACTTCTCCATCGCTCCTCCTCGATGGGGCAGGGGAGGAGGGGACTGCAAGTAAACACACTACTCAGACATCTGGATGCGGAGGAGGAGGTGCGCTCTGCAGGGACAGAAGCCTGGTGGTTACCCCGGAAAGCTGGGGTTGGGAGGGATGAGTCCTCAGAAGGCTGTCTGGAAGCAAGGATGGAGGGGTGGGGAAGACTGGCTCATCCCTGTATGACCCTAAGGGTGAGTATGAGGAGGCTGGCTGCCCTTGTCCAGCTGCTGAGTTGGGAGGGTGGAGGGCTCAGATTCAGCCTCCTCCCCTCAGCCCTGTAGGAGCTTCTTAGCTCCTCCCTAGTCCAGCTAGGAACTGTTTCTAGGCCAGCTCAGGCACATGCATCTGTCTTAAGGTGGTCTTCATCCCACACCTGCCATCCTGGAGGTCCTGTGCAGAGGACGGAGGTCTGGTGAGGACAGGACAGGCGCCCTCTTGAGGAGATGACAAGAAGCCCCTTGAGCTTTCTGTTTCCTACCTGCCTCCAAGCCTTTTCTTCCCTTCTTAGCTAAGCTCCTTCTGGAATACTCAAGCACAAGTCTGCCTGCCTCAGTTAACACTTTTTAGCCAAGGGATAAACTAAGTGGGCTGATGGCTTAAGCTCTAGAGAAGCAGGTGATTGTCCCACTGCGATTTAAGCTCCCTTTAGGGCCAGCATCGAGCACTGGCTCAACAAGGGCTTTTTTCAGGCATGACTATGATGGACGGAGGGACCTGGGAAGGAGTGATGCGGCTCTAGCCGCTGTCACTCTTCAGTCACAGGGCTGCCATCCTGAAGAGCCCAGAAGTCTCCCGAAGTCTAGCCTTGATCAGTCACGAAAGTGGAGCTTGGAACCCTCCCTGACCTCAAAGCCCGCTGCTCCCACTGCTCGCCCATTGCTCTCCAGCCCCTTCCCGCTCAGTGCCAGCCCTTCCCACCCTGACTCTCCATCCCACTCTTAGTTATGCTTTCCAGGAAAAAAAAAAATGTTTCTGTTGGATCTGAAAGGCACCCGGGAAAGGAGTCCAAGGAGCCAGTGCCGAGGTGGGCCAGCTCGGGGGCCGGAAAATGACAGAGGGAAGGGCAGGAATGGGCTTGGGGATAGCCACACTCAGCCCCATTCCTTCCCTGAGACCCCAGGACCTGGGAGTTTGAGGGTGGGGTCACGATGGCTGAGCCTGACCTGCAGAGCCACCCCAGCTGCTGGGCCTGGGGAGAGGGGTGTTGATAGCTGCTCCTTTCCCTGGCTGGGCTGACCACTGAGGTCAGCAACTCCGCCCTGATGTAAGGGGCGAGATAGAGGGTGGGGTATTGGCTCCAGAAAAGGGCCAAAGTTCCACCCAAGCCCTCCGGTCTCTGCCTGACTCAGTTCCTTGAGGTTGAAGACGAAAGATGAGGGCGATAGTCCCCGTCCACCCTCCTCTGCTCTGGGGTCCCTGTCCACTCCCTCTCTGATGCTGCTTCTCCCCGCTGCCACGGGTCTGTATCTTGCTGCCTCTCCCCATGGGTCTACCCAGTACACATAATCCTGTCCTGAGCTGGGTTTGGCTTTGGCAGTTCCCTGGAGAAGTGAGGGGTGGGGGTGGGGGTGGGGGTGACGTGAGCTCCTGGGGCCCCGGCCAGGCCTGGCTCCCTCTCTGGAAAAGTCCCACCCCAGCCCCCCTGCACAGCTGGGCAGGGGGCCGACAGCCCCTCCACTATGGAAATAGGACACACACTAGTGCTTTTTACCCCTTTTCGCGTCCCTCATCTGGTGTGTCTCACTGCCCAGGGTGAGGAAAGAAGAGGTCAGGCGCGGTACTCCAGTGCCAGGCCGGACACTGGTTGGGACAAACCTGGGCTCCTCCTGGCCACGCCTCCACACTGGCCAGGGAAGATCAAAGAGGAGAGAGAGCTGGGCAGGGCTAACCCCTTTACCCCCAGAAGGACTCACCTCTGGGAAACGGGTGGCACTGCGGGGGAAGAGGGCTGGACAGCGTGTGTCAGGGTGGCACGGAGAGACCCTATCCTGGGTAGAACTCCTTGGTCCTCTCTGTGCCCTCCATTCCTGGGTCCTGGAGGACCATCCCGACAGGTGTCCGTCCTTCTTTTTAGTCACCAGGCTGAGCTGGATCGCGGGGACCCAACTGCATCCCTCCCAGCGCCCCTGTCCCCCAACTCTAGGAGCGACGGGGTGTGTAGAGGTGCGGCAGGGGCCACACCATCCTCTAGAGGAGGGCAGGAGGCGCTGGCGCGTGCGAGGAGGTCCCAGGTATGGTTTCCAACTTTACTATGTGACTTACTGGGAGTTTTGGCTGATTCTCCTCCCGGGTGACAGGGACAGAGTTCCCCGGGATGAGAGCCCCCTCCCCAGGAATTCGACCCCAGGGACTGGAGAACAGTCCGAGGCTCTAAGAGCTGGGGCGAGGGTCGTGGCTAGGGCGTGACCGCGGGGCGCAGGGAGCGGGGGCGGCACGGACGCGCGGGGCGGGTGGCCTAACGGGACCCGGGAGGGAGGGCGCCGGGGCCGGGGGGGTCCCAGGGAAGGTCTGTACCTGCTCCGCGCGGCCCCGGCGGCCCGTTAACCCCTCTGCGCCCGGGCGCTCTCTGGAGGCAGCCTAGCTCCGCGGCTGCCACAGCTGCCCCTGAGCCGGGCTCCGGACGCGGCTGCCTCCGGCCGCGGCTCCGCCCCCGCCACGCCCCCGCCACGCCCGCCACGCGCCCAGCCCGCGCCCCTTGGCGGCCCCCTAGTGGGGGCGGCCCACCCCCAACCCCCGCTCACCAAGGCCACCCACTCGAGGCGCCCCGCTCACGGCGCCAGGAGGTGAAAGCGGTCGGTCACAGCCCGTTACGGAACAGCGTCGCCCCTGGCACGGCCCCTGGGCGCTTGCGCTAGGCCGGGCCGGGAGTCGGACTACGGGACCCAGGCCTCTTGACCGGCTCCGAGGGGGCAGCCGCGAGGGGCACCGAGGGGCTGCGCGGTCCCTGTTCCCAAGCAGCGCGGGCGAGTCGCGGCCCCAGATGGGGGCTGTGAACCCGGGCAAGATGGCCTCGCGCGTCCCCGGACCCGCGTGGGTCAAGGCCCTGTCCTCCACGCAGCCTGTCGTGCTAGTCCTGCGACTCCAAGTTGGGTCGTGCACCCTGCGGTTCTGACCGCTCAGGGACGCGCGTCTGTGAGGCTCGGTTTCCTCACCCATGAAGTTGTGCACTCAGGGCGTAGCGGGGGTCACGCACGGACTTCAGGGTTTGAGCCTCAGCTCCAGGGTGTGAACCTCAGCCAGCTCTGGGGTCCTGGATGAATACTTCCGTCCTTCCGTACTGCAGTTTCCCCGTCTGGAAAGTGGGGTTAATCTGATATTCATATGATTGGTTCAGAAATATGTCTATATCCATTCATATACGGAAAAATGCACCCCAGACTCGGACTGTGTGGCGACACCTGGGATGGGGTGCAGGGTTGGGGAGGAAGAAACAGGCGTTCTCTTTTTACATTACATGTTTATATATTGTTTGAATTTTTAACCACAAGTGTTACCTGTGTTATGACTTATGTTTAAAAATAATAATATATATAATATGGCTTACATAGAGTAGGTAACACATGGCTTACTACTTTTTTGTTTTTTAAATTGCAATTTACTCATGAGTCACAGTTGTGTATTTTGAGCCTACTCAGTATTTTTTAAAAATTGATATTAGAGAAAGGAGAGAGAAACATCGGTGTGTTATGCATTCATTGGTTGATTCTTGTATGTGCCTTGAGCCCACAACCTCGGTGTATTGGGTGACTCCTCCAAACAGCTGAGCTATCTGGCCAGGGCTCTGCCACCAACCGTCCTTGAACACCTGGAGCACTTGGTGATGAGGGGGCGGTGAGATAGCAATCTCTGGCCTCAAGGAGCTGGGTCTAGTCAGAGGCAGATAGCCGTGGGGTGGTTAAGTACTGGACTCAGCAGAAGCAAAGTTATATCTCTAAGGGGTGAGGGAAGTGAAAATATAAAATGCTTTTACAATGTAGGAATGTTGTATCCTGATTTGAAGTTTAACATGCATATTTTGTTTTCTCAATAAATACCTAAATTCTTTTAAGATAAGGACCGTGCTACTTTGTATCACATTTTTTCATATTTTGTATTTTTCTGTTTGCAGGGTTAAAAGAAACACTTGAATTGGAATGTTAGAACAGACAAATGAGCCCCCGCTGCCGGGGCCTGCTCTCCGGACTTTTCCACCGAAGCTCAGAGGCCCGTGGACAGGTAAATACGCTGGCTCGGGGCACCTGAGATCCCTGTGGTTTGGGGGGATACCGGACAATGTTGTTAGAGCTTCTGTTTTTCTGTTTTAGTTTCTCAAGTTATAAAATACCCTGGTTTTAAAATATTAAAAAGTCAGTGAAACAACAAAACTTTAAGACACCAAGCACACCCCAGGAAACATGACCCTTGGTCAGGTTTTTCTGCAGGCCTTAAGTTTGTACCTCTCCTCAAAATGTCCTATGTTCCTAAGAGTTTGGAAAGATAACAGATTAGTGTCCTCCTCCCAGGCAGCCTGGTTTATCTAGGGACTATTAGTGACAGTCCTCACCAAGAGGCATATTTATAGTCATGGACTTGGAGCGGAAAGCCCCTTTGTTCAGACCTCAGAGTACAATGAAGATGATGAAACGGCCAGCCCATGGGGCTCCGGGAGATATTTTAGGTCAGGGACCTTTTTGTGCTCCCCAATCATACCCCATCAGCATTCACTCATCTACAAGGAGGCGAGGGACAGGACAGGAAGAGGGGACTGAAGGCAGTGGAGAGAGAAGGGAACTGGGGAGGATGGAAAGGCCTTTGACATTTGTAACTGCTGTGAACTGATGGTCAGAAATAGCCCTTTCCATTAAAAAGTGGCTGCAGACCAAAGAGCTCATGAGATCTGCTACAGCTGTCACCTCTCCTGACTCGGTGGTCTGAAAATACTGTATTAAGAAAAGATCTCCTATGCCTTGGCAACCTGTGAAGTACCAGACAAAATGGGTGGGCACTGTCTCAACAGTATAGCTAACATGTATTCAGCACTCACTCTGTGTACAGTCCTCATCATAACTGATTTGGAAACAAAGACACAAAGAGAAATTCAGTAATTTGCCCAAAATCTCACAATGAGAAGCTATTATCAGTATATGTTGTGTGCAAGTGAAACTTTTGAGAAATTTAGCTGTTAGATTAATTTTTTTCCTGGTAGTAAACTAAGGAAGTTGTATTTGTGCTGAATTAGATAACATTGTAAACTAATGCTTCCTGTGAGATGTTGTCCTTGTTCCAAGATAATATTGATACAAATATCAGTGGGTGCAGATGGGGCCAGAAACCAATGTAAACTGTCTGGTTTTGGTTTGTGGTCCTAGCAGCAACCATTTTCAGAAAGCCTGGTTGCCTTTCTGCCTCTCAGAATCATGGTTCGCTCAACTCCTTTGTCCCAGAAGAGCCCCTCTATTCCCAGGCACTGCACGCCAGGCTGGTCTCTGGCCGTCGATTCCCAGTGCCCTGTCACGATATCCCACGCGGTTTGCTTTCACTGATGCCATTGTTCTGACCATTTGGCTTTGCCTCAGCCCAGTTAGCTCACCCTGCAACAGTTATGACAACAGTCTATGGTGACTTGTTCTCAGCAAGGAACCTAGAGGGTGGGGACGACCTGGCCATGTTTACTTTTATATCCACCACCTCGCCTTGCACATAGTAGGCACTTAATTAATGCTTGTGGGATGAGCCCATGAATGAGATATGGTGAGCACTGCCTCAGCTCTGGCCACATTCCAGTACTTTCTGGTTGTTGTCTTGCCCCGTCATGGCAGAGCTGGCTCTAGCGTGATGAAATGACAAAGACACAGGATGTGACCTCTCTGGTAGGGGGAGGACCAGGACCTGGATGAACATTCTGATCTCCTACTCACTGCTCTGGAGATGTTAAACTTGGTCAGAAACTCCCAAAGTCAGAATTCTTTTTCATGAAAAAATTTAAAATTTATTTATTTATTTTTTAGAGAGATGGGAAGGGAGGGAGAAACAGAGGGAGAGACACATCGATCAGTTGCCTCTGGCACGCCCCCAACCGAGGATCGGCCTGCAACCCAGACATGTGCCCTGAGGGGGAATTCAACCCGCAACCTTTAGGTTTGCTCAACCCACGGAGCCACACCAGCCAGGGCAGAATTCTCCTTGATTTGATTTCCAAATTTCAGTTTGTCATTGCCTCTCAGCAGGCCCTGGGATCCTTTGCCTGGGTACCACCCTGAGCTGTATGTCTGTCCATCAGCATTCTGAAAACAGAAAGCGCTCAACAAATGTTTATGGAATTGAATGAATTGATCAGGCATAACATTAGCGGCCATTAAGTTTACTTAGTATTCGACACCTGTGTTAAGTGGTTTGCACCCAGGCGCACATCTTCTTATGTATGGGTATGGGAAACGTGGCCATGAATTAGAACTTCTGGGTTAGGCCAGAAGGTTTGGGGATATTCACTGTCTGCTAAATTGGGAAGATTCCTCACATGATATTTTTCCCGTTATAGTCTCAACATAACTGATATACAGATGTAATAAAGTGGTACCCATCACTGGGAATGAGGAACAATTAGCCAGGACCTGTCCCTCTGACACAACCCTCCGCTCAGCCTCATCCTTAGGATCTTAGAGAGGAATGACTGTACCCAGCTTATCTATTTCATGGGCTATGAAGTAAAAACAACAGTAAAAACCAAAGTAAAAAACAACAGCATGTGTGTGAAAGTGGAGGGTCGGGATAGGTCATATAGAAAAGCAAGTCAGTGCTATGATTAACAACACTATTTAAATTTATTTTTAGTTCATACGCCACATAGATCAAGGCTCTGCACTGTGCCCCGGCCAAGTAACTCAATTGGTTAGAGTGTCATCCTGGTACACCAAGGTTGCGGGTTCGATGCCAATCAGAGCACATACAAGACTCAACCAATGAATGTGTGAATAAGTGAAGCAACAATTGATGTTTCTCTCCCCCTCCCATTACTCTGTCTTTAAAGTCAACAACAATAACAACAACAATAATAAAAGACTCTGCATGTGTGAAGTCGTAAAGTTGCTCTGTCACCCTGCCCGGAGTTCTTTGCAGTCTCAGATACTCTCTCAGAGCCCAGAGAGACGCAGAGGGCGATGCCCATGACAGCGCACGTGTTAACGTGTCCTCACAACAGGCAGAGTGTAGTGGCCTGACATCTGTGCCAGGGATTGTGGAAAAAAGTGATGCTGCTGTTGGGGCAGAACCTGTCTTCTTGACTAAGAAACCTGGCAGCAGACGCGCCCCGAGGGCCGAGTTCTGCGGTGTCCGTCCCAGCTTGGCCGGCCCCTGTGCCTTGGGGTTCCTGGACCAGAATGCGAGATGCCGTGGGCTGGCACAGGGTAGGCAGTTGCTGAGGACAAAGATGCTCTGGGAAGATGGGCTGCGTCACAGAGAGAAGGGCAGGCGCTACCTAGTGGTGGGGACTGGGCTGGAGGATTCCAAGAATTTTGAGAAAACAGAGCAACCTATTGTTTTGTTCTTGAGTCTGGAATTGCACTTAATGTACTGGCCACACAAAGTACTGTACTGTGACCACTTCCAAGATCAACTGCAGATGAGAATAAAAAGCAGGAAATAGTGCAGCTTGTCCCAAGTAAGGAAGGTGACAGAAACCCGTCTTCCCTCCCCAAAGAGGCTCCTACTAGAGAATAAAGGTCCATGTGATAACTGGGTCCAATTTCCACCCTCATACCTAATTCCATAAGTATGTTAAGAATTAAGGATTTTTCTCTGATTGAAGCAGAGGTATACAGAGCAGCAGGCTCTGGCGGTGATGGGGTTCCTCTCTGCAGCTGGAGGAAACTGCCCCTTTCAGGGGGCAGGGAGGAGCAGGTGAGTGGGTGCTGGATTCCATGGGCCAGAATCTGAGCGGGTTCCTTTTACCACCTGAGCTTCAAGAAATGGCCTCATTCTCCAGGAGGCTGCCATTGGAGACAGCGGACTCCAACCTCAGGGCTGCCCGAGGAAGGGGTCATCCCCCCCGTACGAATCTTGCCCTTGTGCCTAAGGGAGAGTTGGTTTCTGGGCATGTTCTAGAGAAAGCCAGTTTGGTGTCAAAATAATCATGACAGATTGTGCTGATGGCCTAAGAAAGGCAAACATAAAAGGGTAGGAATCAGGGTACAAAACTTGAAACTGTGGCCAGAGAGGCGGGCAGGGCAGCCAGAAGAGAGGCCAGGATTTTCTACATACCAAGGACTCAAGTCAGAAGTCGAAGAGTCGGGGCCTGCTGTGAAGGCAATGTGAGCTGAGGCAGAATGCTGCGTGGGCTCCCCCTTTGACCATAGGCCCAGGCGCACCTCAGAGACCTTGAGGGCCCTGAGTGGATAAAGAAGGAACTATGTTTACTCCTGGTGCTAGAAAGGGCCTCCCTCTTCTGCTCACAGCCTCCCGTGCTTCAGGAGCTTCAGGGTCTGATCCTGGCTCCGAGCTTGGCATTCAAAGCCTTGCCCTGTGGCTGCAGCCTGTTGCATGCCCCCAGGCAAGCCAAGCTCCCCAGCCAGGGCCTCCTTTCTTGCAATTCTATTCCCCCCCCCCAAGGGAACTTCTTCTGTTGGGACATCCACCCTCCAAGCCCCAGCTCTATCTCCCTCTGAGTGAACCCTCCCCTGCCAGGGCCACCCCTCTCCATCTCTCTCCCAGCCCCAAAGCCTGGTCACAGCGGCTGCCTCCCAGCCAGGAGTCTCTCACTTAGGTGTGCCTGACAGCTGCCTGCAGGGACAAAAAAACGCAGGTGCCTGGTCCCCAGTCTGGGTGATCTCTTTCCTGAGCGTGTAGGGGTTCTGTGCACACCCGGGTTTGAGGCCCCTTGGTCTAAACCTCTCCTTGGGAGTTTACCAGTGACCCAGGAACTAACTTGGGTCCTGGAACGCAAGCATGCAGGAAGCACACTTGTTTATTTCTCAGGAACGGCCTAATCTCTGTTTCAAGAGCCCCTTCCCCTGGGGCAATAGACACGTCAGTTTAGGGGATTCCTACCTCACCTGTCTTACCTGTGGGCACACTTGGACTATGTAGATGACAACAAAGGTGTTTATTCCCTGAGGGAGAAGCAGACAAAGCTCCTGGAGCAAAGCCCAGTTCCTTCCTTGCTCGGGTCACGCTCCCGGATGAGGGAAGCGGCCGAGGCCCAGCAAGACTAAGAATCCAGTGGAGGGAAGGGGGTTGTGAAGGGGTCTCCTCAGTTTATTTAAAACTGAACTCTGCTCCCCACACTGCCTTCCTCTCCTGACTTCTCACCTCCTCTTGTTGGAACTGTTCTTCAAAGTCCTAGAGTCATCTTCTCCCCTTTCTCTCCTTATTCCAGAACAGCATGGAACTTTAGAGGTCATTTTGGCCAGTCCCTTCATTTACAGGTGAAGAGATTGTGGCAATTGCTGGCAAACCCAGAATTAGATCCTGGGTCACGTCATAAACATGAAGTCCAGTCCTCTTAGTTCAAAGACATCCTGTCCTTCACATAGCAATGTGTCCTCGTCCATTCTGTGGACACCACCTGACTAAGCTGTCACCTCCTACGTGGATCACAGTGACCGTGATCAATACAACATGCGTGACCCTTGCCTTGTGGCATCTGTGGAATGCCTTCTGCCCTTTTTCCCTTCCCTCCCATCCTACTCAGCCTTCCAGATCAGCTCAAATGCCACCTCTTGCAGGAAGCATAAGCTGGTCGGGCATGACTTCGCCCCCAGCTGCTTTCAGCACTGTAATCCACACACTTGATGGCACGGTGGGATTGTGGCAGGCTGCGTCCTTATGCTGCTAAGTTTCAATAACTAGATCGTAAGTCCCTAAGAGCAGGGCCTTGCTTCGCACGTCTGGGTTTCCCCAGGAGGACCTGGCCTGGAGGACAACCTGATAACGTTTCAGTCACTGCTTTTGTGGCGAATGCCATGAGGGGAAACTTTAGCAAAATGCTTAGAAATGTCCACTGAGCCACTGGCCCCACTGAACTGGGGAGACAAACTGAGAGGAAATGTATAATCTATGGTGTAAGCAAGCTCCCAGAGTGGCCGAAGGGAGGGAACGACCGGCACAGAGCCCAGCAGGCACCTTGTTCCAGGACGAGGGGAGAGACTGTGCATACTGAGGACTGAAGTCAGGCCGAGGAGGGCGGAGGCCTGTGGAGGAGGTGCAGGTTGAGGCAGGAGGCACCCACAGGCCCAGGGTCACCTGCCCGCACATGCACAGAGGCGCCTGGCTCCTGCTGTCGCTGCTGGCCGGCCGCAGCAGGAGCTCCAGGGCTCTAGGGTGCCCTCCACTCTTCCTGGGTCTGAGAAGGGTGTTGGTCCTGCCCAGAGGCCTCAGGTTCGGGCCAGGACTTTGGCTTCCTAGCTTCCCTAACCTGGCTCTGGCTGCCACTCCAACTTACTTCTCTTCATATCCTGTCCCCAGATAGGCCCAGGCAGTCCCTTGGCGCTGTGGGCGCTACAGTGCACAGGGCGCTCCTAAGCTCAACAGTGGTGCTTCCACTGTTGCCATTTTGCACCTGTTTTCCAGTGTCCGGTACATAGTGGGTGCTCCGTGAAAATCTTTAACGAACAAATTGTCTTTTGGGGTCCGCTCCCTGAGGCTTTGCCTTTGCAGCCCTGGTGGCTCGGCTCAGCTCAGGGCCAGCCTCAGAAGGAAAAGCCCTGTTTCTGAGCTCCTGGTGGCCTCTGCCTTGCCTGGCGCGCTAACAGCAGTTCCATCTCCATCCTCTGTTTGGATTTCCTCCCCTTCCCCCACTGGGAAGGGCCTGCGGCCACAGGAGGGGTGGCCTGGACCCGGGCGGCAACTGTGTTGTGGGCCTGGGGAGGGGCGGTCATGCCCAGTCCTGCCTGCCATTCCCTCACTTCAGGTCCTGCTCTCGTCTCAGCGGCTGCGAAGCGCCAGCAGGCGGAGGGGCAGAGGACAACACGGCCCCGACCTCGCCAGCGCGCCCGGAACCTGCGGTCTCCAAGGGCGATTCAGACTCACGATCTCATTTGCTTAAAGCCCCATAAAGTGGGGCAGCCTGCTGACCACAGCTTTCATTGATCCGATGAGAACGCTGAGGCAGGAGGAGAAGCAGAACCGGAGCCAGAAGCCAGGCCTCCAGGCCCCTGGCCCAGCAGCTCCCCAGCGCCTTCCCCGAGCACTCTGGGGCGAGGAGAGGGTTGGCAGGCTCAGTCAGCATCTTCACGTGCAGCATCCCAGCAGGAGGGGCTCACACCTTTATCCAAAGTAACCGCAGCTCTCTGGAGCTGGGAGGGCTGGGGAGGTGCAGGCCATCCCCTATGTTACAGAGGAAACCCCCCCTTGCCCCAGGAGGTCGTGAGCTGGGGCCACAAGGTCCAGGAGAGCAGAGCACAGGAGCCGGTGTCCCATCTCCAGGCCACAGGTGCCCCACATTGTGCTCAGATCGCAGTGTGCAGGCCGGTCAGGGTCTGCACTTCTGTTCTCCGGTTGCTGGGCCCCAGATGGGACCCATGTGGTGCAAGACTGGGGCCCTCCTGCAAGTCACTTTGTTTTTATCCACGAGCAACTATTAGCACAGTATTTCCAGAATGCTTGGGGTTACATCGCAGCTCCCTGGCTGACTGGCTGCGTGAAAAAGGGGTGTCACCATGCCACCGCCTCGGGGTTCTGTGGGGTTTAAATGAGATGGTAACACATAGTGTCAGTGCAGCAGTGCCTGGCGCACAGTAAGTCCCCACAAATATTAGCTGGTAGCGCGACTTAGTCGAGAGTTAGATGACTGACGGTGGAGTTCTGTTTGGCTATTTGGCTATGCAACTGTGAGTGCCTGTGCCCACAGCCCAAGAGGAAGCTGCTGAAAGGTTTCCATCGTTCCACAGTGGGAGGGCAGCTCTGTGGTCTGATTGAGCAGCACCCTCTCCCAGGCGGGACCGCGAGGTCCCGGCCTGCTCTGCACCCTGCCAGAGACCTGTCATCAGCAGCTGACTCCACTCCCTGACTCGTGTCCCCGGATTACTGGGGATCTGAGCACCTCAGGGAGGGGGGTCCTTGCCTTCTGGCTGATTGCTGAGAACAGGTGGGTCCTGGAGGCCAGTCCAGACCTATTTGTGGGGAGGCAAAGCAAATCAAAGCCAAGATTCTGGAGGGGATTAGAGAAAACATGCCCATCTCAGCCTCCATCTGCCCGGCTAGGACTGGGCACGGAGACCAGGCTGAGCGAGAGGAACTTTTATTCCAAGCAAAATGACCAACCAAGACTTTGGGAATGGACCCTCCATAGAAGCAGTGGAGAGATGCATTCAAGTCTGAGCCCTGAGCTCCTTGCGGGGCTGGCGGGGCGCTGTGATGAGGAGGCCCGGGCTTCCCTGCAGGAATGTGAGGGCTCAGAGGGGACGGGGGTGTAGGCAGAGGAAGGCAGTGGCTTCAGGGACCCGAGCAGAGGGCAGCTCCAGGGGCTCTGTTCCAGCCACTCTCTTGGAGCAGAGCACTTGGCACTCGCTGGGCAGCACAGCTATCTGTGGACTTGGCACTCAGCGAGACGTGGGCCCCCCGCCCCCCAGCCTCCTCCGCCAAGCACGCCTGCCTCTCTGAGACAAGCCCTTGAGAGTGAGGCTTGTGAGCACAGGTTAGGGGTGGGGTGGGTCAAGTGAGGACCAGCGTGTTTGTCACTGCTCCACCCCTGGCCACACCAAGACTTTTGCACCTTCTTCCCCAGCCATCATTCCTTTCCAGCTTCAGTCCTTTACACTGAAGCGGGTTTTTAAAAATAGGAAAAGCATGTGCATGTGGCACGCAGTGGAAAGTGTCTCCCTCCCCCCGCCCCCTCCTTCCAGGCAACATCTGTGTGTCCTTACTAACTGGCGCAGGCACATGCAAGCAGACAGATCAATACTCTCCTTTTCTATCTACTTTTGCTCACAGAAACTCCTCTGAGTCTAAAAAAGCTCTGGGTTCTTCCCTAAAAGGTAGTACACACACACACAAAGATAGTGTACAA